CGAGTGCTAGATACATGTTCCTGCCGGGCGTTTCTCTTCTTTTTGCGCAAAGGCCGACGACCGGCAGAGAAAAAGAAGTGTTGTAGACACTGGTTTCGGGTGTTTTTTTTTTATGTACGTAGCCAACCTGCTGATGCTAGATTTCATGCTTGGCGTTCTTCTTCCTTTTCCTCACAAAGGTCGGCGACGGACACACAGCGAGCAGCGAGAGCAAGACGGCCGGCGGAGCGGAGCGGCGGCGGCGCTTCGCGATCGAACTCAAGAAGATCTTGGAGAGCGGGGGCGACGCAGCCGTGCCACCCAAGGGGGGTAGGACCAGCTTGCTAGAGGTGGCCGCGGGTGCGGTGGGGGGTTTGTCGAGGGCCTGCAGCGGAGAGATGCAGGTACGCGCCGGCACCTACGCCTTCCTCGGTGGTTGAACCGGGGCGGAGGGGGGGGGTACTCATAGTCGTGCATGCCATAGTCGTTAGACCATTGACCTCGCATCCCTACAAAGCCGGGACGGAGCACGCCGGGTTCTCTCATTGCGGTGCATGCCGTAGTCGTTTAGACCATTACAAAGCCGGGGCGGAGCACGCCGGGTGCTCACCAGACCAGAGTTTTGCATGCCTTAGCGGTTAGGCCATTGACGGAGGGGGGTTGTACTCATGTAAACGCATGCCGTTGTCGGTTGACCCAGTACGACGTTGACACGAGCGGTCGTTCCTGATGAGTCGCAGCAACGATGTGGCTGGGTTATCTAGACGTGCATGCCGTGAAAAAAAAATTTGGTCGCGGGGAAGGAGAACACGTTGATTTTTTTTTAATCAAGTACTGCTGCTGCTACTGCAGGTGTTGGAGCGAGAGTTCGCGAAGCCGGCTATGGAGCTGATCAAGGTGACCGGCCCCAAGGGCGAGAACCAGAGGTACGCCGGCGCCCTGGTGCTGCGGGAGCTGGCGGAGAACGCTCCGGCCGTCGTGTACGACAGGCGGGGGGCCTTCTTCGAGACCATCTGGCTGGTGGTGAACGACCTCACGGTGAGAGGAGGGGGGGGGGGGGTACTCATAGTCGTGCATGCCGTAGTCGTTAGACGATTGACCTGGGGGGGGGGAGGGGGGGAGGGGGGGCGTCA